AGCACAAATGGGTTGCCTTGAACTAACAAGAGTTTATTATCTTACAGTTCAGGAGGCTAGAAGTCCGAGTTCTAAGTGCCAGGCTCTAGGGCTGGGTGAAAGCCCCTCGACCTTGGGCTTCAGCTCTGCCTCTTGCTCCCGGCCCACTGAAGCTAGAGGCATCTCTCCACTCAGGCAGCTGCTAGCTACTGAGGCTGAAAAACCCAAGGTTGACAAGTGAAAAGGCAACAGTCCCAATGTTACCAAACCACATGGCAGGCCATTAATTCAAGTCCGTCGAAAGTCATAAGGTTGGCAGAGCATGGCAGGCTGCTGAACAATGACATGGCTACATGCAGGGTTCAAGTGCCCCATAAGCTAAAGACCATTTGTAAAGCTGCTGCTTATATTCGGGAAGCAGAACACATCCCTAAAGCAGCTAGTCAGCTGCTTGTGGTAGATCCCACCATGGAGATGATTGGCAGTCTCATCATGGGGAATAACTACCACCAGCTGCCCAGCCACTCAACCAGGCCCAACCAAGTTGACATACAACTTTAACTACCACAGTCATAGTATTCATTTTCCTTGGAAGTTTCTAGTAAATTTAGAGGTGGGTAATTGATTGTCACGTTAGTAAATAGGTCTAAAGTTCCAAGAGTTCAGAAGCACTGCTCTCATTTCAACCTTTGGCTGAAGATCAGCATGTATCTTGCAGGCTCCAATGTCTGATTAGTCAATAAGGAAGTCCAGGGTACCTCGCTTATTGGGAAATCCTTCCCTGCTTATAGCTTACTAGCACGTAATATCAGAGTGTCTCTTAACTTGGCATCACACAGATCTTTTCTCTTCTGTAGGAGCAGTCTCCCTGTAGATCCAATAAGTTTCTAATATTTGTGTATCCTTTGACACATCTCCTTGCTTGCAGTAAGCATTCAGTAATTACTTATCAAAGAAATAGATGCAAGTACCACATATGTGATCATCACACCACTGCATATAAAATCAATTAACCCCCACAACTATGTGTGTATATGTGTATGTGTGTGTAAAGACACACACACACATATAGATAGATGTTGTTGTTATTAGATGCCATCGAATCTGCTCCAACTCACAGCTACCCTATGTACAACATAACAAAACAGTGTCCGGTCCTGTGCCAGCCCCACAATCCTTGCTACACCTGAGCCCATCACTGCAGCCACTGTGTCAATCCATCTCATTGAGGGCCTTCCCCTTTTTCCACTAACCCTCCACTTCAACAAGCATGATATCCTTCTCCAGGGAATGGTCCCTTTTGACAATATGACCTAAGTAAGTGAGAAGAAATGTGGGTATTCTCACTTCCAAGGAACATTCCAGGGGTACTTCTTCCAGGACAGATTTGTTAGTTCTTCTAGCAGTCCATGATACTTTCAGTATTATCATGTATTTGTGTATCATATATGTATATATATACATCAGTGGCAGGATGCGATGGAGAAGCTCAGTATCTTCAGTCAAAACAAGGCCAGGAACTGACTGTGGAATAGACCATCAACTGCTCATTTCAAGTTGAAGCTGAATACAAAAGAAGTCCACAAGAGCCAAAATATGACCTTGATTATATCCCTCCTGAATTTAGAGACCATCTAAAGAATAGATTTGATGCATTGAACACCAATGACTGAAAACCAGAGCAATTGTTGGATGACATCAAGAACATCATCCATGAAGAAAGCAAGAGGTCATTAAAAAGACAGGAAAGGAAGAAGAGACCAAAATGGATGTCAGAAGAGCCTCTGAAACTTGCCCTTGAACAAAGAGTAGCTAGAGTGGATGGAAGAATTGACAAGATAAAGGAGCTGAACAGAAGATTTCAAAGAGCAGCTCAAGAGGACAAAGTCAATTACTATAATGAAATATGCCAAGAATTGGAGTTGGAAAACTGAAAGGGCAGAACACACTCAGCATTTCTCAAGCTGAAAGAACATAAGAGGAAATTTAAGCCTTGAGTTGCAATATTGAAAGATTCCATGGGCAATATATTGAATGATGCAGGAAACATAAAAAAAAAAAAAAAAAGATGGAAGTAATACACAGAGTCACTGTACCAAAAAGAATTGGTAGATGATCATCCATTTCAGGACGTAGCATATGATAACGAACCAATGGTATTAAAGTAAGAAGTTGAAGCTGCACTGAAGGAATTGGCGAAAAACAAGTCTCCAGGAATTGATGGAATACCCACTGAGATGTTTAAACAAACTGATGCTGCGCAGGAGGCATTAACTCATCCATGCCAGGAGATCTGGAAGACAGCTCTCTGGCCAACTGACTGGAAGAAATCCATATTTATACCCATTCAAAAAAAGGTGATCTCACAGAATGTGGAAATTATCAAACAATATTATTGATATCACACACAAGTAAAATCTTACTGAAGATAATTTAAAAGTGGTATATTGACAGAGAACTTCCAGAAATGCAAGCTGGATTCAGAAGTGGATGTGGTGTGAGGAACATCATAGCTAATGTTAGATGGATTTTGGCTCAAAGCAAAGGATACCAGAAAGATGTTTACTTGTGTTTTATTAACTATGCAAAGGCATTCAATTGTGTGGATCATAACAAATTGTGGATAACACTGAGAAGAACGGGAATTCCAGAACACTTAATTGTACTCATGAGGAACCTGTACATAGACCAGGAGACTGTTGTTCGAATAGAACAAGGTCATAGTGCATGGTTTAAAATCAGAAAGGGAGTGTGTCAGGGTTGTATCCTTTCACCATATTTGTTCAATCTGTACACTGAGCAAATGATCCAAAAAACTGGACTATATGAAGAAGAACATGGCATCCAGATTGGGGGATGGCTCATTAACAACCTGAGATATGCAGAGACAATTTTGCTTGTTGAAAGTGAGGATGACTTGGAGCACTTACTGATGAAAATTAAAGACTGCAGTCTGCAGTATGGATTATACCTCAACATAAAGAAAATGAAAATCCTCACAACTAGACCAATAAGTAGCATCATGATAGCTGGGGAAAAAAATTGAAGTTGTCTGAGACTTCATATTGCTTGGTTCTACAATCAATGCCAATGGAAGCAGGAGTCAAGACATCAAGAGATGTATTGCATTGAGCAAATCTGTTGCAAAAGATCTCTTTCTAGTGCTGAAGAGAACAGATGTCTTCTTGAAGACTAAGATGCGCCTGACCCAAGCCATGGCATTTTCAATCGCCTCATATGCATGTGAGAGCTGGACAATGAATAAGGAAGACCGAAGAAGAGTTCATGCTTTTGACTTGTGGTGTTGGCAAAGAATGCTGAACGTACCGTGGATTGCTTAAAGAACTAACAAATCTGTCCTGGAAGAAGCATAGCTGGAATTCTCCTTGGAAGCGAGAATGGCCAGACTTTGTCTCACCTACTTTGGTCATGTTGTCAGAAGGCATTATTCTCTGGAGAAGGATGTCATGCTTGCTGAAGTGGGGGCTAATGAAAGAGGGGAAGGCCCTCAACAAGATGGATTGACACTGTGGCTGCAGTGATGGGCTTGGGTATAGTAGGGATTGTGAGGCTGGTACAGGACCAGGCAGTGTTTTGTTCTGCTGTACATAGGGTCACTATGAATCAGAGCCTACTCTGCGGCATGTAACAACAACAACAATATATACAAGCACTAATAAAAAGATTGGGCTGAACACACATGATGAAATGTTCAGTGTTTTTTCTAGGCACAGGTAAGGAATGATTCCATCCTCTCATTTCCTGTTTTAAATTTATCATATATATGCATATATATCTATATACATATCTATCGATCTAGAGAGAGAGAGAGAGAGAGAGCACGAGCGTGAGCTCTGGTAGTGTAGTGCCTAAGGCATGTATGTGACTGCTAACCAGAAGGCTGGCCTTTCAAACCCACTCCTGGGAAGGAAGGTTGGGCAATCTACTTCAGTATCCCAAGGAAACCCAAGGAGGGGTCGCTGTGAGCACATAACAACAACAAATATATACATACATACATATGTGTGTGTGTGTGTGTGTGTGTATATCAAACACTACTTTTTAAAATGTTGTTGTTGTTGTTATGTGCCATCCAGTCGGACCGACTCATGGCAACCCTTCCTTGGGTTTCCGAGGCAGTATCACTATGGAAGTAGATTGCCCCATCTTCCTTCCCAGGAGTGGCTGGTGGGTTTGAACCGCCAGCCTTCTGGTTAGCAGTCAAGTGCCTTAGCTACTATGCTACCAGAGCTCTTACTTTTTAAAATAGTACTTAAAAAATTCTTTATTTTAAAAAGAGACATCCTAGTTGTTCATAGCAGAGAAAAAAAATGCACCTAGTTTTGACTTCAGGCTGTTAAGGGATTTACCATTTTTGCTGCCACTACTGAAATTCCAGAAGCCAAATAGCCAGCCCAGAAAAAAGTCAACTTTCTGTGAGAGGCGTTCAAAAAACTTTAAAGACATGCCAAGTTAATCATGTGGGGTTTTACAAGGATCAAAAAATAGCGTAGATGAACACAGTATTCTGCTTCATAGAAACATTTGACTGCCTACTACATCCCACACACTAGGCAAGGTTCTGAAACCACAAGGACCAGAGTCTTGTCTTCCGGGAAGCATATGGGCTTGTTTTAGAGACACACCTTTCCTAACAAACCGAGTAGTACTGGTTTCTAGCAGAACCACGAAAAGAAGAAAACAAGCCCCGCACGCGCTGCAGTTTCCAGGACGCGCATGTGCGGCGCCCACGCCCGCGCTAATTCTCCCAGTCACATTCTTCGAAAACCAAGTTGCGAGCTGCAGCAACTGCGCCTGCGGGACAGGGAGATGCTGGGATGGGTTAGAGTGAGGGGGGAATGGCGGTGGAGGAGAGGGGGCGGAGTTGCGCTTGCGCAGTAGCTCCACCAGCAGGAAGCCGGGCTCGCGGGGGCGGAGCCAGCGCGGGACAGCCAGGGGGCGGGGCTTACATACGGCCGCTGCCGCCGCTATCCTGGCCGCCGCTGCTGCCGCGCGCTTTGTGCAGCAGGCGGGCCCCGGCGCGCGGCAGTATCCTCGACTGGCGTCGCTCCTGGGGATGGTGAGCAAGGCGCTACTGCGCCTGGTGTCTGCCATCAACCGCAGGAGGATGAAGCTACTGCTGGGCATCGCCCTGGTTGCCTACATTGCTTGTGAGTGCAAGCCCGAGGGGCCGGCCGGGAAGCCCCCATTCATTCCTCGCGGGCGCTGGCAGCGGGGCCAGGGTCGGCGAGTGGTGGCGAGGCTGCGAGCGCCCGCGCTGCCTGCTGCGTGTGCGCTCCCCGAGGGGCAGCCTTCCGGCTCCGGGTCTTCCTCTTAGCCTCTTAGAGCCATCTCCCCCGCCCCGGGCTGTACCTGCCTGTCCTACTCCCCCCCACTCCCCCTTTGCGGGAGATTTGGATTTCCTCGTCACCTTTTCACTATTGCAAAAAAACGATCGGTGTAAACTTCGGCTCAGATCCTCTGGACTACTTAGGCCCCGGCGCAGAGACTGAGTGACCTGAGCGGAGTTACCCATGAACTTGGGACATGGTGACCGCGACTCATGGGCTTCGAGCGGTCTGAAGCTTCCGCCGTCCTCGGGCAAACAGTGTGCTCACGGTGCCTTCAGCCTGTTGCTCTGGAATTACCTTCCCGCTCCCTTCGCGCATGATTCGGTGGCGGTTTTGGAGGGGTGTGCGCGGCGGCACTGCCGTCGCGGCGTAGGGTCGGGGTCTGGGTGTGTGCGCGGGGGGGGGGGGCATGTAGCCTCGGTCTGGCGCCCCTGTGCCGGCCACGTCGCCCTCGAGAGTGGGTGAGGGTTCCCGGCTCAGTGATTCCGCGCGCAGGAACGCAGCTCTCGGGGACTCCCGCGGCCGCGGCCGCCTTGTTGATTAAATAGGATAAAAATGCTGTTGCCGTTGGCAGAGCCCCCTGCACCGACTGTTTGCTCCGCAGGAAAATTACTCAGCATTTAACTATTCTGGTACGAAATGTTACCAGCACGGTACGTCCCCCAAGGGTGCGCCGAGGTGTCCCGGGTGGGCGCGAGCAGTGGGCAGCGGCGCCTTCGGGACGGTTCCGGTGGGCGGTGGGGGCGCGCGTGGTGACTCCCACGGAAGACAGGGTGCTCTAGGCGGAGCTGACCGTAGGAGGCCCTGTCGTGGTGGCCCATCGGAGAGGCATAGAGCAGTGAGAGGAACCAGGGCTGAGCGTGACCTCGTGGCTTTTGGTGTTTGTGGTTCTCCTTTCTGTCATCACTTTACAGCCTGCTGCCTTGATACAGGACAGGATGGGGGAACTTTGAAAGCAGGTGGTGGACCTTGTATCTCCTTTTCTTCTTGGAGAGGCAGAAACCATGCTTTTTCTTTAAAAAAATCGATTCGATGGGACCATATTTTAATTGCTGCTATTAATACTTTACCAAGTACCAGAATTGCACTAGAAATAGCTCTCAGTATGAGCTCCTTTTGAATCCTTGCCGCTAGATAGAAACTGAAATGGAACCACCTGCTAACTTGAGTTACTAAGAGTTGATTACCGAGGTGAGTGGGGACTTGGGAAAGTGACTTCAGTGAACTCTAGAAACTGCCTCTGTGTAACACCATCTTGTCTGGTACAGCTTGGCTGCGGCAGAAGGTGGAGCAGAGGAAGCTCTTGTAGGGCTCCTGGTTCAAAGGGTAAGGTTCAAGCCCCCAGAATGAGTGTTTAGATGACTAGTTTTGGAAGGGAGGAAGAGAGAGTCTGAAGGATGAGAGTAGATGGGTGCCAAAATTCTGAGAAACAGACCCCTTTTAGTAAGTTCTGAAGTCAAATAGATCCAGGTTCAAATCCTGACTCCACCTCGTTGTTGTTGTTATATGACGTCGAGTTGGACCGACTCCTAGTGCCCCCTCCTTGGGTTTCCAAGGCAGTATCACTATGGAAGTAGATTGCCCAACCTTCCTTCTGAGGAGTGGCTGGTGGGTTTGAACTGCCAGCCTTTTGGTTAACAGTCAAGTGCCTTAGGCCTGTGCTACCAGGTGACTCTTAAGGTCCTGTTATGAGGATGAAAGTACAGTGAGGTTGCTTACTTAGCACAATGCTTGACACAAAGCCGGCATTCAATAAATAGTTTCAGTGGTTAGTAATAGTTCCCTGGGTGGCCCAACTGGTTTGAACTCAGCAATTTATTGGAAGGTTGGTGGTTCAAATCCACTCAGCAGCACTGCTGAAGAAAGGCCTGGCAGTCTACTCCTGTAAGATTAAAGCTGTTGGAAGTACTACAGAGGCAAGTGCTACTCTGAAGCACATGGGGTTGTCATGAATTGGAATTGACTCAATAATGATGTCTTTTTTTTTTTTTTTTTTTAATTTTTGATAATGGTTGTTAAAGGAAGCTCTGGTAGTATAGTACCTAAGGCATTTGACTGCTAACCAGAAGGCTGGCGGTTCAAACCCACCAGCCACTCCTCAGAAGGAAGGTTGGGTAATCTACTTCCTTAGTGATACTGCCTTGGAAACCCAAGGAGGGGTCACTATGAGTTGGATCTGACTTGACAGCAGTAACTTTGGTTTTTTTGGTTTAATGGTTATTAATGGGGGTAGTAGTGGTTCAGTGCTGGAATTCTCCCCTTCCATATGGAAAACTTGAGATTGATTTCCAGCCAATGTAGCTCATGCACAGCCACCACCTGTCAGTGGAGACTTGCATGTTATGATGCTGAACAAGTTTCAGAGGCTTCCAGACTTAGATGAACAGGAAGAAAGGCCTGGCAGTCTACTTCCAGAAGTCAGCTACTACAACCTTGTGGATCATAATGGTCTGCTCTGCAGCTGACGATGGGGATGGCACAAGACAGGGCAGCACTGTGTTTCACTGTGCATGTGGTTGCTGTGAGTCAGGGCTGACTGGACAACAACAGTGGTTATTAATAATCTTTCTGCTCAGTGAATTTTACGGTACATTCATCTCTTTTTCTGCATTTTATTAGAAGGAAAAGCTGAGAACCAAGAGGAAAGCCACTTAAAGCTGAATAATTATTATCATGATGATAAACCCAAAACCAAACTCACTGCCATCAAGTCAATTACAACTCATAGTGACGCATTAGGACAGAGTAGAACTGTCACATAGGGTTTCCTAGGCTGTAATCTTTATGGAAGCAGACTGCCTCATCTTTCTCCTGTGGAGAGGCTGGTGGGTTTGAATAGCTGACCTTTTGGTAGCAGCTAAATGTTTTAAATACTATGCCCTGACAATTATAATCCCTTAATTTGTTAAATGATTACCGTGTATGTATAGGCATAATTCTTAGTTGCACTGCTCATTTAATTATCTCAACAACCCTAGGAAATAGGTATTATGATTATTACAGCTTCAGGGATGAGGAAATTAAGGCCAAGAGAGATTAGGTAAATGGATGATCACATAGATGGTAAAACTATGGAGAGGCAAGATTTGAGCCCAGGAAGGCCTGGGAGCTGGGGCTAGAATCCAGATCTTACCTCTTCATAGTTTTGCCATCTCTGTGATTATCCATAAGTCACATAGATTTGTAGATGTTAACAGGGGAAAGAAAGATAGAAGAAATAGCCTGTGCATAGTTCCTGTGACCACCAAGAGCAGGGAGTGTTCTTGGAATGCAGAGTAGTTTAGGGTTGGAATGTGAAAACAAAGTGCAGTCATGGCACTGCTTAGGCAGGAGCCAGGACAGACAGGCCTGGGAGGTCTTGTTCCAGCCTTTGAAGTGGATGATTTTAGGGATGAGGGGATTAAGACTCTGATGGAAGCAGTGATGATGATAATGAGCTAAGGATGCTTCATCTGAAACACTGCAGGGAAGAATGACAGGGCTTCTTCTGATTGAGTGTCTGGGATAGTGAAAATTTAAAAAGTCAACAGTGATACCTATGTTTTCTACAATCTGCTTTTCCTTTTTAATGATTTGTTCCCTACCCCCATTAGGAGTAAAATCTCTCCTCTTTGTAAAAACTGTCCATGCTTCCAAATTCTACATACCCTCGTTGTTAGCCAGTTCCCCTTCCAGAAGTGCCTTTCCTTATTCTCTCTTCAGTTCTGTTAGTCTTTATCATCCACTTCCTGTATCTTTCCTAAATCTTTTATTGTCTGCTCTGCCTTAGAATCTCCCTTTCTTGCTACCACATAACTCTTTTGTACCACCCACTGGGTGGTGATCATATCACAATTTGGATTGCACTTGAGCTGTTTTATATGCATATGTTTTCTTAATGAAATATCAGATGTGTGAGGACAGGTGTTGTGTCTTTCGTGTTTTAGCCCTTGTAGGCTGTAGGGGCTCTGGTGATGCAGTGTTAACACATACAGCTACTAACCAGAAAATTGGTGGTTTGAACTCACCAGCTCCTCTTTGGGCGAAGGATAAAGCCGCCTGCTTCTGTAAAGATTTACTGCCTTGGAAACTTTGTAGGGGCAGTTCTACTCTTTCCTGTAGGGTCAATACGAGTCAGAATCGACTCCATGGCAGTGGGTTTGGTTTTTTGGTTAGCACGTAGGGCCTTGCTCTTAGCCCATAGGAGATGCTAGGTAACTTCTTGATGGATGGAAGTGAAAATCATGCCAGCCTACCAGGAAGCTTCCTAGACAGAATCTGCGCTTGAGTTTCCTTTAGTTTTTTTAAATAATCAAAGTTATACATGCACATACCTTATTTTAATAAATAGTAAGTCTATACATAACATACGGAAGTGATGTAATCAAGGAAAACAGTACTAGCATAGCATGGTTTAGAGGGAAACACATATAATATGTTATCTGTATAAAAATACAGTGGTTTAAAAAGTCAAATAATTTTTGCAAGCTTTGTTAGGAGAAACAGCATCCCTTCCTACCATTTTCCCCTACCCAGAGACAAGCACCTTAACTTCTCTTAGGTTATTATTTTGGTGTTACTTTCATGCCACTAAATCATAAGCTTCTTGATTTTTCAAGAAGTTGTAGATACTAGCTAGCACCTTCTGCTTTGGAAGATGAATGTTTATTCACTTTACTTTCTTCCCCGTGTGCTTATCACCTTCTATTCCCAACCCCCATTTAAATCTGTTTTACTTTTCAGGAGATCAACATTTAGTATTTGCATGTATGATTATTTAAATGCTATTCACAGTGAGCCGTGTTGGACATTATATTTTGATTTCTGTGTACCTTTTTGTT